TGTTTGCTAACATCATCAGGTATAATGCCTAATAAGAAAACTTCAGGTTTAAATGCTAGGGATTTTTGTAACATTTCCTCAAGCTATTTATGTATTTTAATCCAATACTTTTTCGCCTTGTCACAAGTCCACCACATATGATAGAAGTACCCGGTTTATGTTTACAGTTCCACCATCCATTGACATATTTGGAAACATCTTGGCTAACCTACTTGGTGACGGATATCATCTATAGAACATTTTATATAGGTTTTTTTTATATGAAGTTTCTAGTGTTACTTTAATATTTCTTTCCCACAGCTTTTGCCATTTCTCTAATTCAATATTATATCCAAAGTTTTTTGCCCACGTTATCATAGTTTCCTTAACCTGTTCATCTTCCATTCTCCTATCTAGTAAAAAGTTATATAATCTTTTAATCATTTTCTCATCTGATTTAAGTATCACCTGATCAAATGTTGTTAACTCCTTATAAAAGCCCCACATTTTATAGTCTTTAGCATATCTTGATTGTATCTGCACCTTATGCCACCAAGAAATATTAATTCCTTGTTCTTGTATTTCTTGATTCCATTTCAATCCTCCGTCATTATCCAGAATATCATCATATCTTACAATCGTTTCAAAATTCAATGCATTTGGGTACACAAGAACTTCCATAGGTGAAAGCCATCTTGGTAATTTAATGTACAGTTTTGTCTTTAACTTTTCCCACACCAACATTATGCATGCCATTTTTTATTTTCAGACCATCTCTAAGCTTTTTGTGAAGCCTCATGAGCTTCTTCTGTTGTCTTCTACCCTTTTTCCTCATTTGAGGTGTTTGTAATTGTGCCTTTAGGACCTAATTTTTTAAAAATCCCTGCCTGCCTTTCCCCTCACTTCCTTTCCGACCACTTTGTGACTAGATTGGGAATTGCTTCATTCTCCTCTACCTGAGTATACTGTATTCTCTTTTCTCATTTTCCCCCTTTTTGCCTAGAACAAACCGCTCTCCATCCCTGTCTCTTTGACAACCTGTTTCCACTTTTCTTACAAAGAATCTACACATTTTTTTTTGCCCGCTTTCCTATCCTTTGTACCTCAGCCTTACTCAAGTTGCTCGTTTTTTCCTCCTAACTTCTTTCCATCTTTTCCTATCTTTTGCAGTGGTGTCTTACTTCCACCTTACCCAAATGGAAGAAGGGACACTTTGTGACTCCCTGTCCACCAGCTTCACTGACCAGCTCTCCACTCCCTGCCGATGCTCCCATTCCCTGGAGCTGAGAGAGGCCCCCACTACCATGCCCAGAGGAGAACAGGGAGTTCAGCATACTGTGTTGACACACTGCCACTGGCCCTAGTCCTCTGTGCCTTGAAGGCCACACTTCTGGGAGTCGACCCCAATACTGCTCAGTTCACCTCTACAACACTCCCCAGGCAACCCCACAAGGCTGATGACACTGCTCTTGGAATGCAGCTCATTCCAGAGCACCCCACCACAGCATCCTCAGTGCCACACTCTCCACTTATTGAGTGGGATTGTGTATCTGACTGGTCCTCAGTGTCTTTCCACTCCAGGGATGGGCTCAGCTTCTCTGATGATGATGACCATGAACATTGATACTGAGATGACTGACACTGAGGCACCAAATGCTGTGCACCGACAGCACCAGGACCACCTGCTCCACCTTCGCCCTTCAACATCAGAGAGACATGAATGCTGGTTGTCCATCAGCTGCCATCATGTGATGTCTGGCCAATGCCACACCTCAACTACTGGTTGACCCCAGGCACCTCAATTGATATTATTCCTCTGTACAAGACCAACACCAGCCATTGGTACGGGATCAACAACAGGCCTTGGTATTTGGCCAGTGCTGCTCCCTGGCACTGTTGACATTGTAGTACAGGCAATGGCTAAGCCCATTTCTATCTTCCATCCCAGAAAACTAGATCTCAGACTTGTAGTCAGTGATTTTGCTGTCCTCATTGGAGCTGCTCCTAGATGTGGCTTCCATGGGAGGTGGTTGAGTCGGCTGGAGTCGGGGGTCAGACTAGCTGTCCCAGGAGACCCCTTCTGACTCATTCTGGTTCTGTGTTTCTCACATGACCTCTAGCTTCCATCAGTGAAAAATGTTTGGATGTTTTGAAAAAGGTGAGCCTAAGGAAACTCCTGAATGAAACGTCTTTGAATCTTAATAATCTTGGTAACTATCATGTAGTAGTAAGTATTTCCCTGGTTGGTGCTGCTCAGTATGTTGAAGCAGGTGACAACTGTTGAACTCCTGGATGAAACTAATGTAAGCCAGTCTCAGTCCACCTTCTGACCTAGTTTTGGGGCTGAAACTGCCTTGGTGACTCTAAAATATGTTTACTTGGATGAGACCAGAACAATCAGAGGAAAATCATTTTCTGAATTTTCCAGTGGTTTTTGGTTTTGTCAACAATGGAATGTTACCTACTGAATGGAGAATATGGGATACCAGTTTGGGACACAGTCCTTTTATGATGTTATTCCTGCTTAAAAGACTGATTTCAGAAGTTGGCACTGAGAGACTGCTCTTCTGCCCCATGGTAGTTGTGCTTTCAGGTTATACTTTATCTGTCATAAAGTACAATATCTGTGTAAAACTGTACATAGATGCTGTTTTGAGGTTTGTGTTCACTTAAAGGCACACTAAATTGAATCCAAGTATAATCAAGGATGTCTTAACAAGGTGTACACTAATAGACTAGATGGGAGTTGGTAATGAAATTTCAGTTTAAATAAGACCAAAGTGTCATTGGCTGGTTATTTATTTAACTCATTTATATACCACCCAATAGACAATTTTTATTTATTTATTTATTAAAACATTTTTATGCCACCCCATTCGCCGAAGCCTTGGGGCGGCTTACAACAATAAATTACAATAAATATAAACATTAAAAATCCAAAAAATACAATATTTTCTTTCACGGAGGGTTCCCGGAGAAGGGCCTCTCCCGCTGATCTCAAGGGGCGGCTGGGCATATATGGATGTAAGCGCTCCTTCAGGTAACCAGGACCCAAGCCGTTTAGGGCTTTATAGGTCATTACCAACACCTTGAATTGGGCCCAGACTTCTATGGGAAGTTAACAAAAAGTAAAACTAAAGTTACAATGACACAGACAGCAATAATATTAAAAGAACAAGATCGTAATTGCAACCATAATATAGTTGACCAAAAATGTGGGATTCAGAATGTTTTGGATAAGGATGTAGAACCAGCTTTTCAGGTCAGTGTGCTGATTATGGTATAGTAATTGATTTGTCAACTAGGGTCCTTTATGTAAAAACATGATGTTATCTAGTCCATGAAATCATCTAGCTTAGATGACTGTGAAGGCTGTTCAAATTTTATGTTGACGCTAGTGATATGTAAAGGCTAATGAAATATATGGAAAAAAAGCAGAATTGTAGGAGAAGGTAGGGTTTCTGCTAGTTCTTAGCCAGACTATTTAGACTGCAGTTTTACAAAGAATGGTTGGTCTGAAGTAATGGTCTGAACTTTTCCAGCTATACTAGGTATTCTCATAAATGTTTTTTCCATACTGGCTACTGGCCTGATTTTTATTGTGGTGATTGGTGACTTCAGAGAAGTTATAGTTTTCATCAAACAATAGCATGAAAAATGTGGCTATATGAAGAACAAGCTGCTATAAATACAGTAATCTTTTTATATCTTGTTTCAATTAGTTATTCTGGAATCCAAGGTGTTGATGTAGATCAGAAGTGCATTTATGTTTAAAATGTTGTATTCGTCTCTCATAGGATGAAGGATGTTTTATAAATATTAAAATAAGTCATGAAAAAGCATATACTTTACATGCAGACATCTGAACTGACACTATCAGTTAAAGAATCTCTGATAGCTGGGAAAAATCTGTGCCCAGGAACTTAGATAGCTAGATAGTCCAATGGTCTAATTAAATATAAAGTAAGTGTTATCAGTTCATATATAGGGTGTACTTTTGTTTTAACCTCACTATTTTAATTTGCCTCCCAATAAATTAGCATTCTGCGACCTGCTGTGCTTAAGCTATTTTGTAAGTGGACATGCTCCCCCATGGCAGCCCTTTTGTGATGTTGTCCACAACTTTGCAGATATGCTCACTGGTCTATGAAAGTTTGGGATCCCAAGTATAGTCTTTAGAAAAGATTGTTACCAAACAATTTTCTGTTTTGTTTAAAACTTCCTAAATAGTCCAATCAATGAATATATGTACCATTCTTTCCATAGGCATTGCTTTTGAATATGGAAAGTAGCTGTTCTACATTAGAAATAAAGATACATAGAAATTCATAACACAAGAGATTGAAAAGACTTGCCAATGGCAAGATAGGCACATTTACAGTTTCTTGCAGCAGTATAAGAATCTGTGTACACACTGACAAACTGGTATCTTGTGAAGTAAATAGTGATTAGAAATTACACTGCTGGATATGTAATTCTAGACTTTGAAGTTACATAGCTTTCTTACATGGTAGTTTTTCTGTTTGACAAAACAGATGATTGACTATGAATTGAATGATTACACAGAACTTATTTGACACAGATATTGTGAACAAAAATTCTTTTTGAAAGATATTTTTCTAGACAAATTCTGCACATGAGCCATTCATATCCTCAACCTTTACATGCAGATGTGACTTTAAAAAAACCTGAGTATGTACAAAAGTTCTGTTCTAAATGCCTTTGATTAAGATAAGGCTGGAATAGCTTCTATAACTGCTTTAGCCAAAGCATATTTTTGTGTGTAAAATCATATTCAGCTGCTCCTCCCTTTATAGCAAAGATAAATCTCTGATTAAATTTCCATTTCCAAGCTTTAGTTATAATTGTGTAGCATTCCTTATCACAAGGACAAATCCTTCACTGATAGCTTAAAATGTTGAAAAGAGTTTGATTAAAAGCTTTAGATAACCTTTGTAACTTGAGACCTATTTCATGAACTTAATCTAGTGGGTACTCTTTTCCTTTGGTTGGTATTTCAGGTGCAGTCGCAAGCACAGAAGTAAAAATGAAATTACAAGAGTTTGTCTTAAATAAAAAAAAAGCTTTGGCGCAGAGGAACCTCAACCATTGCATTTCCAATGACCCTCGCTTCTGGTATGGGTAAGTATTCCTACTTGCATCTTTGCTTTCCTTCAATTATTGTATACTGATCATGACACATTGAAGTTACATCTAAGGACTGTAATTACACTGATCCTATGTGTGCCCTTGGAGAATAAGGACTAAAAGAGTAGGATGATCTAAAAATATCCATCCAAAGAGGGTTTTTCTTTGGTAGATTGGAAAATGGCAGGAAATTTGGTAGCAATAGCTTAAAAAATTGCCAAGGAATTACTGACCATAAATAATTCCTAGGAAGCTTTGTAAACACTATACTTTTCCTACATGAAAGGCACCTCTGAAGAGGAAAATGCATGACACCAGCACATGTGAAGGTGGTGCATGCTTGTTCTTTGCATAGTCATCACCAGTTATAATTAGAGAAACATTTCTGGCTTTTTTCCAAAACATCTTCATGTTGGAAAAATGTGTCTGGAACAACTGGAAAGGTGACCTGTTTTAGAGGCCAAAACTAACACCTTGAATCGTGTTTTGAAAGCTTCAGGAAACCTCTAGAAAGCTTGAAGCACTGCTGCAATGTATGTGGAATGGCTTGGGCTTGGTTCCCTGGACTTCAGTCAGCTTTGTTGCAGCCCTGAGTCAAAATTCATGTTGAGAGTGCCAACCTTCACAGGGTGCTCACCAGTAATCGAGCTCCATGAACTGCACAAGCAACGTCCTTCTTCCTGGTGACTGCAACTTCCTGGTGACTCTGGGGGACTGCAACACCTGATGCAGAACAAGGCTGTTTGTATGGGTCTCACCAGGGATGGAGTCCTGCATGACTGCTGCACACGCAGTGTCGCTCTTCAGTGCCACCTGCAGCAGGCTTTGTGCTGCTCCACTTGACGTAAAAGAAGGTGGCTAGTTGTGCGTTTTTTGCTGCATGAACTTTTATGGATTTCTTCTCAGCTTGGCATGCTTTGCAAGATCTGACTGAGTGCAAGAGGAAGTCTGCAAATGCTGAAGGGACAAATTCTGATAAGTTTCATGCTGACACTAGTCTAGAATGGAAAATATTTGATCAAGTTGTTTGTTTTGGAGCTTCATATTCATTTTCAGGCTAGAACAGATAACACAAAAATTCAGTTGTTTCCAGAAAGCTTAAGTGTAAATGCTGAGACTTTAATATTTAAGCCTGGATAGTACTAGGGAAAGTTGAAGGCAGGAGAAGGGGGAGACCAAATATGAAGATGCTTGAAACAGATTCTTGAGTTTGCAAGAATTGAGTAGGCAGTCAAGGAAAGGACATCTCTTCAGAGGGCATTGATTCATAGAATAGCCATAAGTTGGAGACAGTTTGGCAGCTTGTAATGTCACTAATACATGACCTCTTTTATCTTTTCCTTAGGAAAACACAACACAGTTCTCTTGATCAGAGCTCTCCGCCACAAAGTGGTGTATCAGGCACTTACAATCACCCTGTACTAGGGATGTATGATTCCAAAGATGACTTTCCACTCAGAAAAACAGGTAAATCCTACTTTTAATGTTTACATAAAGTAGAAAACATTTTCCTTCTAAAAAGTTATCAAATAAAGCCACCACTCTCTTCCTTTTTGCTAATTCATCTATGCACATGTGTGTGTTGAGGGCAACACATATAAAGTATTAGAAAATTGTTAAAGGAAAACAGCAAAAAACACTGCCAAAGGAGAAGACAAAGCAACAAGACATCAGGGAAAATGGCACTATAAAATAATCAGTGTGAACTACCTCACCCCCCACCTTAGGAAACAACCCTATTTTCAGTGCAGGCTGCACAAAGAACGCTCCCCCAGCAAGGTGTTCAGGTATTGCCATGCCATAAACAAAATGACTGCCTTGTGCACACATTTGCCATACCTTGGGCTGTTAGGGGACATAAAAGAAGGCCTCTGTCTATCAGAATAGTCAGGTAAATATACATGCATCTCATAGATGTGACTTAGGGTCAGTCAAAGATTGTCAGACTATCCTACCTCATGGGTTTGTTATGAGGCTATTGTGAGGATGTTGTGAGGCTACAATATTCCTACTGAGAGTAGAAATATTATGTAAACTGCCTGCAGGATATAAATTTAATACGTAAATATGCATGTTTCTCTCCACTTTCTGATACTTAAAAATTATGAGTTCTTCGTTGTGGTCTCCATGCATCACACATATATGGGTGCTGCGCCTGCACAGTGCCTGTTGCCAGGAAGATTTAACAGCTTTAATGGTTTTGGCAGGAACCATTTTTCGAGTGGTGCAAGGCCTGGTTCGCCCGGGTCCTAAGGAAGATCCGATGCCACCCTCAAAGGCCCGCTGTGACGACTTTGCCAGGCATTTCAGGGAGAAAATCGCTCAGATTCGTCACGAGCTGGACTCCACTAATGAATCAGAGGTCTCTGGGGAGACGCCAATGCTACCGTCTGGTCCAAAATTATTGGAGGAATTTCAATTATTGCGGCCCGATGAGGTGGACAAGGTGCTTGGATGAGTACGTCCCACCACTTGCCTATTGGATCCTTGCCCGTCTTGGTTAATAAATAACTCCAAGCACGGGATTGGGACCTGGATCTTGGAAGTGGTTAACGCTTCTCTGAGGGAGGGTCGAGTGCCTGCCCCTTTAAAGGAGGCGGTAATACGACTGGTCCTGAAGAAAGCGTCACTGGATCCAGAGATGGCCACTAACTATAGACCTGTGGCCAACATCCCGTTTCTGGGCAAGGTGTTGGAGCGAGTGGTGGCGGGACAACTCCAAGCACTCTTGGATGAAACTGATTATCTGGATCCTTTTCAGTCCGGCTTCAGACCCGGGTACAGTACTGAATCTGCCTTGGTCGCCCTGTATGATGACCTGTGCAGGGAGAAGGACAGGGGGAGTGCATCCCTGTTGGTTCTTCTGGACCTCTCGGCGGCTTTTGATACCATCGACCATGGTATCCTTCTGGATAGGCTTGCGGGATTAGGGGTTGGAGGCACTGCTTTGCAGTGGTTCCGCTCCTATCTCAACGGTCGATTCCAGAAGGTAGTGCTGGGGGACCATGTCTCTACGTCATGGCAGTTATGCCATGGAGTACCACAGGGCTCCATTCTATCCCCTCTGCTATTTAACATCTATATGAAACCGCTGGGAGAGGTCATCAGGAGGTGTGGGCTGCGGAATCATCAATACGCTGATGATACCCAGCTCTGCCTCTCGTTTTCCACTAATCCAGGTGAGGCAGTGGCTGTGCTGAACTGGTGCTTGGCCGAGGTAAGGGAATGGATGAGGGCCAATAAACTGAAACTCAGCCCAGACAAGACGGAGGTCCTGTTGGTTGGCTGATCGGGTTTCGGAGAGGGTGGATTTGATCTGGTCCTGAATGGGGTTGCACTCCCTCTTAGGGACAAGGTCCGCAGCTTAGGAGTACTCCTCTACCCGGAGCTTTCTTTGGAAGCTCAGGTGACAGCGGTGGCGAGGAACGCCTTCTTTCAGCTTCGGCTGATTAATCAGCTGCGCCCCTACCTGGAGTACGACTGCCTGGCGACGGTGACAAATGCGCTGGTGACTTCCCGCCTAGACTTCTGTAATGCGCTTTACGTGGGGCTTCCCCTGAAGACAGTCCGAACACTTCAATTGGTGCAAAATAGAGCTGCCAGGTTGCTGACGGGGACGGGGCGTTATGCTCACATGACTCCAGTCCTCCGTCAGCTTCACTGGCTTCCCGTTGAAGTCCGGGCCCAATTCAAGGTGTTAATTATGACCTATAAAGCCCTAAACGGCTTGGGTCCTGGCTACCTGAACGAGCGCTTACGTCCGTATATGCCCGACCGCCCTTTGAGATCTGCGGGAGAGTCCCTTCTCCGGGAACCCTCCATGAAAGAAATTAGGAGAGTAAGTACCCGGAGGAGGGCTTTCTCTGCGGTGGCGCCCAACCTATGGAATTCACTCCCCAAAGAGGTCCGCCTGGCACCGTCGTTACTGGTTTTTCGGCGCCAGGTAAAGACCTTTTTATTTAAACATCATTTCAATTGTTAAAACATATGATCTGGCCTGGGCATCTTCTTCTTCCTTCTCTTTCTCCTCCTATATTTTTATTTACTTTATTTTATACTGATAATTTTAATTTTATATTTGTAACTCAATGTATTTTTTGTATTTTTGTATTTAATGGTAATTTATTATGTTATATTGTATTTCAATGTATTTTATTGTGTTGTAAGCTGCCCCGAGGTTTCGGCAAGGGGCGGCATAGAAATGTTATTATAATAATAATAATAATAATAATTAATAATAATAATAATAATAATAATACCGACAGAAAGTGCTCCACTCGGTCTTCTCCTGAAAAACATAAGGAGAAGAGAAAGCACATCGGATCCGATGCCGCCATGGAACCCAAGTGCCCTAAGAAGGATAAGACTGAGCACTGACACAAAAAACACCCTCGGGTATCTCACCCAGATCCTTCCCACCTGCCACCTGTCTCAGTACCGACCAAACCATCTGGCCGCCAGTCTGTTAAGCAGGTGACACCGCCATCATCACCACCTTGGATCCTCATCTCCCCTCACTCCAGCCCTGAGCACTTGGATCCAGTAGGGTGAGCTATTTTGGATGGAGAGATCTGTGAATCATCTCCTCCATTGGGTCCTGACCACCAACCCGCAAGGTTGCTCCCACTCCATTCAGCCGGTCATCTCCGGAGGGATCTCCGAGGACCTCTCACCGTCCGTCCTCCCTCCTTCCACTGCAGCCTCCTGCTCGTCCACCCTCTAGATACTGGATGTCTCTTCCCTACAAAGACTTAGATCCCAAACATCTGGATTGTCCTTATCCATGGGATATCTATCCTCCATACAACTACTACTCACCACCACCACTGAGTTGCCACCATTCCACCCCTCAGTCGGCTTTGAGGGACACCCCATCCACGTCCACTGCAGCTCTTGCTCATCCACCTTCGTCTCCTGATGGCTCCTCCTCCTTGAGTCCCCCATATCAATCAAATTTGCACTTGGAAGGAACACAACAAATCTTGGCATCTTCCGATGCTGTTATTTTGACTCAGGGCCTGGGATCGACTGGTGCAGCCATGGTTGCTTTTTGGAACTGCTGGCTTGTATGCCCTCCTTCCTTGAAATCAATATACAGCCGCATATCAGTCCTAACCAGGACAACATTTACGATGTTGTCCGGAAGGAGGATGTAGTTCCAATAGCCCTGCCATTCATCTCGACTGTCCAACAGGCAATGATGGAATACTGGCAGTTACCGAACCATGCTCACCCTACCTCCCAGCACCTGGAGTCGATGTACAAAGTCAGGGAGCAGGACATATCATTGCTACTTAAACATCCTCAACTGAACTCTGTAGTGATTGAATCCACCCAAGGCCGTCAGTCCAGAGAGCACTCCACACCAACTGACCATGAGGGGAGAAAGATTGACATGATGTCTTGCCGGATCTATGCCACCATGGGACTCGGTCTTCAGATTTCCAACTATGAAGCTTGAGTCCCTCACTGCATTCCTTCCGGACTAGTAGAGAGAGCTGGCTTACATCTTCATCGGGGAGGCAATGCAGCTCTCGAAACAACAACTTACTATGGCGAGGCATCATGTTGATTGTGACTCGAGGGTGCTCTCGGTGCAGTGGCCCTTAGGCGTCATGCCTGGTTGAGGGCCAGAAATCTTCCACAAGAAACTAAGCAGCGCATTGAGAACATGCCATTCAATAGCATCAGTCTTTTCTGTATGAAGACCAACAAATTGGAGCACATTCAGAAGGCTTGGCTCACCACTCGACGAATGGGATGGACCGCCACACAACTGAGACGTAAGTGGTTGTGGAATAAGCCTGCTCAGTACTGACCCTTCCAGCCCTACCACCAAGGATACCTTTCTGGACAGCAACAGTTTGGCCAACAGAAGCCTCACGGTTGCCACAGTGATGCACCGTGCTACCAACAACCCTGGCGACGCGCAGACAACAACAAGCATCAACAATGATGGGACGCGTGAACCTCTCCTCATTCCTCTAATCCCTTTTGGGGATCGGCTGCAAAGTCGACTCCCCATCTGGGAGTCCATAACATCTGATTGGTGGGTTCTTTCCATCATAGAGTACGGATATAAAATCGAGTTTGAAAATGCCCCCTTCAGGTACAATCCTCTATACAGCATCCTCTCAAGCCCTCCTGGAAGAAGTCACTGAGCTGTTTTGTAAGGGCGTGGTTCGAAAACTTAGTTGCTTAGAACAACTGCATGGTTTCTACTCCAGGTATTTCATGGTACCAAAGAGAGATGGGGTTGTCCACCCCATTCTGGATTTATGTGGAGGTAATAAATATATCAAAACCAAAAAAATCAGAATGACCACGCTCCAGAACATACTTCCGTTGCTCAGAAAGAGCATTGGTTCACATCCTTAGACTTGAAAGATGCTTACTTCCATATCAGCATCCACCCTGCTCACAGGCACCTCCTGCAGTTCACCATTGGTACTGAGGTCTACGAGTAC